AATTCAATTAATCTTTATTCTTCCAGTGACTGATCTTTCCCTTGCCTGTGTTGTTGAGAAATAAAAGGCCATTAACTTGTCTTTGGAACAATAGCCCAGAGACAATAAGCTGTCTGGAACCATATATAAAGTACTTTCTATAGTGAAAATTAGTTTCATAACTAAAGTGGCATATTATATTGTATAGGCAGGTATATTTATAACAGAAATAGAGCACAACAATGATATTATTACTACTAAATATTATGTAAGCTGTATTACCTGTTTGTTATATAGATGCACTTTACATTGTTTGTTAATAAAACAAAACAATCAAATTTTTTTTACATAAAATTGACATTCCCAAGATATTCTGTTATTGTAGTGAAGGAACTTAGTATCACTACAGCTTTCTGCCAGCAGTATTCAGTGCAGTTACTGATCTTATCCTAGGTCTATATTGAAGACACAGTATGGGGTTTATTTACTAAAGTTGGAGAGTGCAAAATCATGTTCACTTCTGCATAGAAACCAATTAGCTTCCAGGTTTTATTGCCAAAGCTTAATTGAACAAGCTGAGGTTAGTAGCTGAATGGATTCTAGTGAGCCTGATTTTGCACTTTCCGGCTTAAACCCCCAATAACATCAACAAAAGTGCAGCGCTAAATAATAAAGTCTGAAAAATGTCCACTATAAGTCTAATTCATAAAAACGTGCCAGATGACAAGTAACAATCAATGGTGGTGATCCATGAAGAAAAGCAGAAATGCGCACTCACCAGAAGACAGATATAAGTAAGCGGTATGCATCAAAGCCCATGGATCCTCAATCAAGGAGAAAACTGGTCTGGTCAAAATGGGTTGATCTTCCCTCAAGGATGCAGAGCTTATCCAAAACAGATCCAGGTAGCCAGAGGTCTCCTACAGCTGGATGGACGGAAGGGGTCACCTGCTTACAGGGGGTCTTCCTCCTCCTGGTAAATGCCTGAATTCTTAGTAAAGGACTCTGCAAAAAGGTACTCCTATTTTTAATCCACTCCAGTCACGTGATCCTGCAGCTCCAGCTCCCCTATGTCAGTGACTGCCTGCTGCAGGAGAGAAGGCAGGACCAACAACCCCCAATAACATTGCACAAACAAAATGTAACATTGAAACTGCTAAACTGTCATAAATATCACTATAGTATTACCAAGTTTTAGTTATTAAAAATTGAACTCCATTCATGACTTCTGTCACTGTTGTCTGTGTTCCCCTTTGCGATTTTCCTACACATCCCATCCTTGTGACATGATGTCAGAGAGTAATGGGAAATCTTTATAATCGAGACAGGGTGTTTTTTTTTTTTTTTTTTTTTTTTTTTTTAAATTGAGAAGGGTTAGAAACTCTGTCAGGTTTTTATTGCTGTCTGGGCCTTCCTGTTTCAATTACCTATGTTTCCCTTTCTACATGTCCTATTGTCAAAAGAATAAACGTAAGGGAAGATTTACCCAGTGGGGTCCCACAATGCCAAGAAAACCTGAAAGTAGTTGTAACCTTTCCCTTTTATTCTATATTTTAAAAAAAAACAACACTTGGCTGCAGCTGTGCTTTGATATCAAAAAAATATCAAAATTATATGAAGTAATTTAAATAATTAAATTTGTTTTAAAAATTTTACTTTGTTCAAGTTTTTTTCTTCTGCATTTTTATTTTTTTCAGGCTTGTGAGGGTATGAGAAGAATCTGACTATAGTAACCTTCATAATTTATAGGACAGGAATTCAGCAATGTATAAAATGAAGCAGTTAATATTCATATATCTTAATTTCTTCTTTGTTGCTTATGTTTTAGCTTCCTATTAATCAAATCAGCCAAGTTCTGAATCTGCCTGCTTGATTTGACTGTTTAAAATTGGGGCTTCAAAGAGAGTCTGTGAGGTTGGAAACAATACATTCACTGATATATTATTATATATTAAAGTGGTATTGAACCAAAAATTTAATATATTGCAGCTTATCAATCATTAGATGTGCTGGCTGCATTAGCTCCCTTTTTTTTTCCCTTTTCCCCTTTGTTTTCTCCTGGTGATCTGGCCATTAACACACCCCACTCTGGATGAAGGAGCACATGTGAACAGCTTGGGGGAGTGTTAGATGTACTGGCAGATTTAGATACGCTAACAAATTGAGGCTGAACTCCAGCTGAGACTGAATAAATAAACACTGACCATTGTAAGTACCCTTTGTTCTTTGGAAAAATAACAGTCCTATTGGCTGGATCAACAGATGAAATTAGATGAAAGAAAGCCTTAAAAAGAAAACTAATGCAGCCAACATATCTAACTATTGGTAGGCTGCAATATAATAAATATTTGCTTTTGGGTTTAATACTGCTTTAAAGATTAAAAAAAAATACTTCTTTTAACAAAGTGAACATCCCTTAACCATAAAGTCACTTAAAAAAACACAAAAATTTCAGAATATCACAAATTCAGAAGTATATCTAGATAGCACATAATCTCAATATGAGATCCAGTAATAACCAAATGTGAAAATATGGGTATATTGCAACTCTCTACTTAGTTTAACAATTAATAAGCATTGAGAGAAAGCATATAACAACCAGAGATTCTATAAGCATGTGCTAGTGGAAAAGAAAGACTCACTGCAGATGAAATATATAGCCTTGTCTAGGACACACCTGAGGCTGTTACCTGAAAAGCACAGAGCACGCTGGTGAAGTCATCTCATTCTGTCAGTGGCTTTTAGCTAAAGGCAAATACAGGCGTACCTCGGTTTACGACCGCCTCCCGTTAACGTTATTTTTGGTTTATGAATGAAAATCCATTGAAAATAATGACTCGGTTTACAAATTTCTTTTTCAATACGAATGGATTAATTGGTTTTCAATGCATTTACAAATTTATTTTTAATCATGTCCCTGTACAGTACTATGACTTTAAAGTGCACTTTATAAAGAGTTTTGAACAGATAAGACTTTTTTTTTACTTTTTTCTGACCTCCAAAATGGAATAATTGGGTTTCAATGCATTTACAAATTACTTTTTAATCATGTCCCTGTACAATATTTATGCCTTTAAAGTGCAATTTATAAAGAGTTTTGAACAGATAAAAGACTTTAAAACTTTTTTCTGACCTCTGGAATGGAATAATTGGTTTTCAATGCATTCCTATGGGAAACCACGTTTCGGTTTACGATTTTTTTGCAATACGAAAAGTCACGCAGAACGAATTAAATTCGTAAACCGGGGTATACCTGTAGGCTGTTCACTTTGAAAGGAAATTTTAACTTTTGCATATTTAATGAGATGATGTTCTGTTGAATTCCATCATCCAATCATGTACAAGAAAAAATACTTTTCTTTTTTACTTTCCATGCACATGATTGGGTAATCTTTTATAAGTAAAGTTTTTCCTTATTCACTAAGCTTAGGAAAAAATTATAATGTGAAGTGAAAATTCCCTTGCAAAGTAAAGAGCTTATTTGCCTAATCAACCCCAGTATGCTCCTTGTCAGAATGATGCAGGGTAGCAGAGTGAAAGCACTGACCCTTCTTCTCCCAGTCTGCTTTCTGCTGTACATTGGGTTACAGAAACCTAATATCCAGACAGATTCAGGTACATATGAAAGCTGTTTGTAGAAACATTATTTTAAATGAACTGATAACTAAATTGAACTGTGTTTTTAATATCTGTCTGCTCAGCTTTAAAGGAAATCTATGGTCACATCACACACTTTCATTTTAAACCATCAGCACTGTAATACCAATACAAACAATAGTTGTATTTGAAAATCCAATATAAGCTTACTTATATTCAGGGGCGTCCCTAGGGTTGGTGTCACCCGCTGCGGTAACAATTGGTGTCACCCCTCCGACGATCCACACAGGATGGATCAGATCTGCAGATTGAGCATAATGGATTGGAGTCCGATCCATTATTCTCCCCAATCCACAGATCCGATCCATCCTGCGGGAATTGTCGGCTTGCAACCTATACGGGGTTAACTGATCTCTCCACGAGCTGTACGAATAGGGAAGTTTTAAAGCAAGTCGACGATCCCTGCAAGATGGATCGGATCTGCGGATTGGGGAGAATAATGGATCAGACTCTGATCCATTATGCTCAATCCACAGATCCGATCCATCTTGCAGGGATCGTCGGCTTTCTTTAAACTTACCTTTTTGTGGAGCGGGTCCGGTGTCACCCCGTGTGATAGGTGTCATCCGGTGCAGCGCGCACCCCCCACACCTGCCTAGGGACACCACTGCTTATATTACTCCTTTCATTTTGTAAGATCTGCCTGTCTGCTGTACTTCTCTTTCCACAACATTTTGGATTCCATGCGATAGGTGTCATCCGGTGCAGCGTGCACCCCCCGCACCTGCCTAGGGACACCACTGCTTATATTAGTCCTTTCATTTTGTAAGATCTGCCTGTCTGCTGTACTTCTCTTTCCACAACATTCTGGATTCCGTGCGATAGGTGTCATCCGGTGCAGCGTGCACCCCCCGCACCTGCCTAGGGACACCACTGCTTATATTACTCCTTTCATTTTGTAAGATCTGCCTGTCTGCTGTACTTCTCTTTCCACAACATTCTGGATTCCCTGTTTGCTTTGTAGCTTTTCCTGAAACCCCTCATCTGAGCACCTCTGTAGTTCAGAAAGCAGGCTCTGTGAAATGTGTGACCCGGCAGTGCCTATCAACAGGGCATAATGAATGGTGTCAAAGAATTCAAGAATGTAATTGTGTGTGAATCTTCACAAACGTTTACCATGTTCAAGATCATTCAAATTAATAATCATATGCTAGAAATAATTGGAATAAAATGTGGAAATGAATATATCATTTCACATACTGACTCACAGATATGCTTTAGAGATAAACTTTGTTTTTGTTTTATAGGCACTTTGCACATATAGTACATTGTTGCTCTTTGTACTGGGTATATGAAAAACCCTGAATACACTAAAAAAAGAGAAAAAAAAAATCTGTTCTAAATTTGTGTTTTTTTCTCTCCCTAGATTAGTGGAAAATTCCACAGATTTGGCCAGGATGAAGAGTCGGAGGAGCGGGCTGCTAGAGAGCTCCCGCACGTTGTACTCCAGCATGTCCCGCAGTATTGAGTTGTCACTGGATGAGTTAGTAAGTTCACTCCTGAACACCTACCTGTTAGCCTAAAAAAGGGTTCCTTTCTTTGATGCTACATTTGATTTTCTCTTTACAGGATGCTGTCAAATTTATTCAGGAGAACTTCAAGAAGAGGGAGTGCATAACATACACCAAGGATTCAAAATCACAGTAAGTACTCGAGAAAACAACATGCTGACATGCTGATACATTGTGTTCCTTAATGTCCTCCAGGGGTACTTCATATCCCCCCAACTCCTGTGTCCCACGCAGTGCTAAATCCAACTCCAAAATTCAGAAATCTTGCAATCTTCTGTGGGCACTACTGTATACTAAAGCTGCACCGATACCTGTATCCATATCAGTGCCAATACTAAGCCTTTGCACAAGTACTTGTATTCATGCAAATTTCTGTTACTAAAAGCAATACTTTTCTGTGCGGTGCAGTTTGAGCCTATACAAAATGAATGGGTTCAAATGGCACTGCAAAGAATTGCATGTCAACTGTGAACAAAAACCAAAATATATAAAGTCAGCACTCCCTACTAGTGTAAAAATAAGCTTGCAAATACAGGTATTATTATTATTATTATTATACAGGATTTATATAGCGCCAACAGTTTGTGCAGCACTTTACAAAATGAAGGTAGACATTACAGTTACAATACAAATTGGTACAAGTGGAAATAAAGGACCCTAAAATATGCACCACCCTTAACGTGAATACTAAATAAAAATGCAGCGCTATATGGTCACAATAACAGTCCAAGAATGACAGTCCCATCAACTTGACATATCAAAATTCAATATATGTTGCCCTGATATAAAGTGCAGCATCAGCGTATTAAATAATCATCATAAGACCATCCATCTGCTCATGTGCCTCTGGGGGGGTCTGCTCCACTCCTTCCTCCTGTGCAGTATAAAACTTGTGTCGATGTGACACCAAAAACATATAAAAATATATAGGGGTTTATTTACTAAAGCTGGTTCACTCAGAATCTCATGCAACTAATCAGCTTCCAAGTGTTATTGCTAAAGCTGAATTGAACAAGCTGAGGTTAGAAGCTGATTGGCTACCATGCACAGCTGCACCATATTCTGAGTGAACCAGCTTTAGTAAATCTCCCCCATAGTGTAGTACTCCTATGTATAATAGAATTCAACACCCGTGCTTAGGTGACAATCCATGATACAGTGTGGGTGGCAGAGTTTTGTACACACGCTGTATCATGGAGTGTCACCTATGCATGGTTTCGCTGCGACATTCAGATGTTTGGTCAGAGTTTAGCGGAAACAATATGAAAGCATTGATCCATCCAATGGTTCAGGCTGGTGGTGGTGGTGTAATGGTGTGTGGGATATTTTTCTTGGCACTAGCAAGGTTTACCTAATAAAGTGGCAGATGAGTGTATGTGCTGACAACTTTTATACTTTAAAATTTCACACCTTGAATGAGTATAGCAAAATGTATTTCCTTTTTTGTAGAGATGGCATATGTAAATGTGGGTACTCCAAGATACAACATATTGAAGGGACTCAAACCAACCAGAATGATAAGTGGCTTTATAAGAAGCACACAAAAGAGCTGCCTACAGATGCATATGGAGATATTCAGTTTGAGGCATTTGGAAGAAGAGGAAAGGTATGTTTATGAATATACATCTCAGTTGTAGAGACACAATTTTAAAATCAACCTCCTTTACTGATTCTACACATGAACAAAAAGCCATTGCCAAATGGTTCAAAACACACATAAAAAGTTTGATTTGCACTGTGTTTTGCCCTTACTGTAATGTCACTCTAATCATTTAATATGTTTGTTTAAAAAAAATAATTTGAGGCCGGTGCCAGCTATGGCATTGGCTTGTGCTAATGACTGAGCTGTCATCTTAAGATTTTCCTGGGGGAGCTAACTTGTTTAGAAGAATGACATAGTATTGGGAAGTGTATTCAATTCAGCATGTAAAATAATTTTTACTGCCTTCATTTTGGATTTTTTGATGTAATAGCTAGCCAGATAAAAAAGATATTTTGGTTGTAAAACAGTAGAGGACAGCTGTAAAAAAGTACAGGACATTTTTATTTCAGCTCATATTTTCTTAAATGTGCAGTATGGGTCTCTACTGAATAAAATGTATGTAAAAAACAGCCCTATTTGAATATTTACTGGTGGCTAAATGTAGTCTAGCTGTCTACTGTAATTATGGGCAATCAATGTCCAATTTATAACAAAACCGAGATTATTGTCTGCACGCTAAATGGTCATACTAGATTTTCCAAATGTGATTTGACAAATATTACTGCACAAAGCAGTCTGCTTCGTAACATATTTTTAAAAAATAAACCTAATTTCCTGAGCAAATGTGTACATGAAAGGATACATAAACCCCATATGTAGATAATCATCCTTTTGTTCTGTGCATCTCCAACAGAATGGACCTGTTGAGATTTGTTTTTCTGATTTTGATTTGTAATTCATGTTTTCTTGTATTCTATACCACTACAATCAAAACACTGCATTATGAAATAAATATTTTTAGAAGAAGTTATTTTGAATTATAAGGTATCTCTGTTACATTGTATTACTGAAACAAATTATGTTATTATTCTTATTGATTATTTACAGATATCAGATATTTGCAAGTACTGTTTTATCAGGCATAGTTATTCACTGTGAATCTTCTCATTTTAGTATATTCGCTTGTCCCGGGACACAACACCAGAGACATTGTATGAGCTCATGACAAAATACTGGCAGCTTAAAACACCAAACCTCATCATCTCTGTGACGGGAGGTGCCAAGAACTTTTCTCTGAAACCAAGAATGCGAAAGATCTTTAGCCGTCTAATCTACATCGCACAGACCAAAGGTAATTTAGGAGATCCCAATAGCATTTGTGTGTGATTACGAATGACCATAAGCAAAATATGATTGCAACCTTTGTGCAGAATAAAATAAAGTGTGACTGTATTAATAAGTGAGACTATTGGCAAACAAGACATTTAACTGATTAGACAACACATTCCACCATGAAAAAGAAATAATCTTTTTTTTTTAATTTTTTTTATTTTTAGACCTGTTCTTGGGGTTATTTGGGGTGCTGATTCAGAAAATTGTATCAGCTAGACTGCATCAGCTCTAGTTTCCTATATATGGTTGAATATATATAATTGTGTAGTAAGTTTTTGAAAAGATCTTGCTTATCAACTTGTTCTTCTGTTACTTAGTTTGTGTTTTTGTGTACAAATTAACAGATTATGGTGTCCATTTATGAACCAGTGATAAATGATCGCTGCTCAGTTCTCCGGCATTCTCGGAGAACACAGTTCTCCTGTGAATGCCTTTTATGAAGCAGTTCTCCGAACGAAGGGAGAACAGTCTACCAACGCTGGAGAACGGCTGATTGTACTATAATCTTGCGAGATTACAGTAAAAGATCAGTTTACTAAATTATCTCTGCTTAGTTTGCGGTCCCTCCGATTCTCCAGCTCTGGGCTGGAGAATCTGGAGGGAGAACACAGATCTCCAGTGAAGGGCTGAACATGTTCTCCGCAGATCTCCTGAGTGTCATAAACTGTGAATGACCAGAGAATAGCTGCGATCCTCTGAATCTCAGCTATTCTCTGTGTCATAAACAGACACCATAGTGAAAGTGTTTATGTTCTTCCAACTGTAATTTTACTTTGGAAACATTGGATTCTGAAGTGTAAGCTATTAAATGTAATATAGTTCTGACTGTATAGAAGATGTGTGTATATTGCCACTCATATTGTTTTATTTTTGCAGATTGAGCACCATAGGGGTTATGGCTACTTTTGTATTGTGTTTCTTTCATGCTACAAGAAGATTAACCACTTCCTGTCCGCCTTATAGCAGAAATACTGCTACAGGGCAGCATGGGTGCGCAAAATAATGTGTATATATATATGTGATTTTGCATTTCCATGTAGGGGGCACGTACACGCTGAGCGTGCGCCCTACCCACCCCGCCATTCGCGGCCGTGGCTGTCAATCACCGGGTCCCAGCTGGTGATTACTCACCGGCACCCAGTGATTTCCGATGATCTCCGACGGGGAGGAGAACTGTTTTGTTTACTAAAAGCTCTCCTCCCTGTCAGCTCGGGCACACTGCTTGGAATCGCTGTGCGCAGCACAGCCATCCAAAGTAGTGTGCTTACAGTGAAGCACACTGACACGGCCCCCTATGTAAAACACTCCCAGCACACAGTTAACCCTTTGATCGCCCCTCATGTTAACCCCTTCCTGCCCAGTGCCATTAGTACAGTGTCAGTGGGTTTTTTTTAGCACTGATCACTGTATTGGTATAAGTCAGTTCCCCCCAGTGTCAGAATGTAGCCGCAGTGCCGCTATAAGTCGCTGATTGCCGCCATTACTAGTAAAACAAAAAAAAAATTCCAGTGTATCTATACCGCCATTTGTAAACGCTATAACTTTCACGTAAACCATTTCATTTACACGTATTGGGATTTTTTTTAGCAGAATACATTTTGGCCTAAATTTTTGACGAAATTTAATTTTTAAAATTTTTTTACTAGACATGTTTAATAGCAAAATGTCAAAAATATAGTTTTTTTTTTCTTAAAATTGTCGGTCTTTTTTTTTATAGTGCAAAAAAATAAAAAACACACAGGCGATCAAATACCACGAAAGAATGCTCAATTCATGGGAAAAAAGGATGTAAATTTCATTTGGATGCAGCATTGCATGACCACACAATTGTCAGTTAAAGTAACGCACCGCCATAACGCAAAAAATGGCCTGGTCAGGAAGGGGGGTAAATCCTCAGGAAGGCAAGTGGTTAAATAAAACCCAACATTAAAATATCCTGATTTTTGACAGGCGATCAGATTGAAGAGTGGTATATGGTTTTTATACTGTATCTCAAAAACTAAGGGGTCATTTTTTGAATCAGCGGGTCAAATATACCCAGAAACAGGTCTAACATTCAAGGCATCAAAATGTGTGTTGGCCTGTGCAATCCATTGAATGATTAGACAGGGAGCAATTAACTTGCAGGTTACTGAAGAGGTACAAAGTTAGAAAAATGATGGTAAATAGGTTCATGATGGCAATACATTGCAGATGAATGAAAGCTGCACAAACATGGACTCTTAACAGTTATGTCTCTGTGACTCAGTCAGGGTAACATTGCTGCACAACATTCCCCTCAGTGAAGTCCAAGTAAAGCAGGTGAACAGCTGGAGGTATCCAAGGCCCAAGGACAATGGGCTATGCCTTTGGAACTGCAGTACTCTGGTAACAATCAGGGAGGGGTTACCCACAGTAGAGTCTTCTGGGAAAGCTGCTTGCAATTAAGCTCAACTGCCTGCACGCTGGTTCTGACGGTGGAGGCCTTTCACCTGGCTGCAGATCACTTGCTTGACTACTTCTGCTGGTGTAGCCTCTCTGTGCTGCTGAGGGAGAGACTTCTGGTATTCCTGATGAAGCTGAGTAAGATATGCCCATCAGCAAAACGCATTGACATCACACGTCAGTGGCCACACACATCGGCTTCACGCACTGAGTCCCGGTGGAGACATGGAGCACCACGCCATTTCCCGGTGCAGACCAACCATCATATGTACTCAAAAGGAAGTGGAGCCTGGTCATTGGAGGTCCTGACATGGCGGCTGCCTATAGGACTCTGAGCACGGAACCGAGCAACTAAGGGAAGGTCATACTAAGACGGAGTAGGTGGTGAGTGGCACATTTACTCACACCTGGTGGATGCGCTGGACAAACATGAAAGCAGGGCTCTGCCAATAGAAGTCCTTACACAGCCATTGCCTCACGGACTTCCTATAAGTCATTCATTATTCCAGGATAGTGACTTTATATTTTGCATCCAATTGGCAGTAAGCTGCAAATTCCCTCCTTATCTGATGATACTGCACTCATCTTCAATTACGGTACTTTATTGCATATATCTGCTGCCCTATGTGGGCCTACAATTTTGCCACCACATGCTACACTTTGAGGCTGTGTCTCTTGGTCTCAGGAATCGGCCTCTGGCTATATACTACCTGGATTGCATTTAGTGCCTTACTCACCGCTACTTTGATATAGGCATCTATATATGGAATGTATCCAGTTATATGGGCATTAAGTCTATTTTCTTACTGTGTATCTTCCCCAGCTGGGCTTCTATTTTCATTTCAGTAGAGGTTATACCTGTACAATTTTGATAATTGGTCTAAGCATTGATATTGCAATTTTTTTATGATACATTTATCCCCACCACGGCGGTGCTCCTTGATGTTTTTTGCTATATGAGCAAAACCCTCAAGTCGTTGTCTCTACAGCATATTACAGCATATGGCCTATCCCTAATGTTTCTGTTTTTTATTTTTATTTTCTGGTTTTAGGTTGTTTTTTGTACTGTCTTATATTGAGGTGATGGCTACCAGCAGTCTTTCCTCAATTGTCTCATACTGCAATTTTGCTAATAAAAGCATATTTTGAATACAATTTTGAGTATCACATTGTCCTTTATGTAACCGCTTTTTCTCTTGTGAATTCTCTGTTCACATTGTTTTTTGTAGGCTTTTTTGGTTATTGGGCAACACTTCATATTTTTAGTGATACCTATTACTTTTAATGCCTCCATCTTTGTGGTTATTAAAGACTTCTGGTATTCTCCCTGAGTGTCAAGGAACCGTTGGAACCAGAGTTTTGGTAAAAGGAGTTAAATGGGCCTGCTACTGTATCTAAGCATCATGAGTAAATGAGCACTCCATTACAGACATTTTCCAACCAAAATGCTTGAACTGGCTTAAATATGCATATATATCTATTATATGTGTGATGGGGAGAAGTCTCTGTGTTGTTTGTAGCTGCCAGTCAGATTCCACTTTGGCTAAGTGGAGTAAAAAAAGTGAAAAGAGAAGTATGATTAGTTGGAAGACAATTTCTGGGAGTCCTTTATATTGTGTTTAATTATTGTGTTAATGCGTTGGTAGAGGAGGTTTACTTTAAGATGCAGGACTTTATTTTAAATTTCCTTTTCCCACACTCAGGGGCCTGGATATTTACAGGTGGAACTCACTATGGTCTTATGAAGTACATAGGAGAAGTGGTTAGAGATAACACCATAAGCCGGAGCTCAGAAGAAAAAGTAGTGGCTATTGGTATTGCAGCCTGGGGCATGATCTCTAACCGGGACAAACTGATCCGGACTTCCTCAATGGAGGTGTGTGAATTTAATTCTCTATATTCTAAATTATTTTGGAGCTGGGGTGTTAACATATCAACCATTCACTTTCTGTACAGAATTCAGCTGCTGTGCATGTAGTCAACAACATTTTTCTGTTTTAAATTTAGAAATGTCTGTGTAGTAATGTGCAACTTTGACATGAATTGAAAACTCTGTGTATCTCCATTAAATTAATGACAGAATGATGTGTTGTTATTATTATGCTTAACTGTATTTGTATTAAATGCTTCGAATAACCTGTATCCTCTGTGTGACAGGGAAATTATGTGGCTCACTACATCATAGAGGAGCAGAAACGAGATCCTCTCTACTGCTTAGACAACAATCACACACATCTGATTCTGGTGGATAATGGCACCAATGGACATACAACTGTTGAGGCTGATCTTAGAGCTTCGTTGGAGAAGTATATCTCTGAGTTAAATGTGCCTGGTACAGAATTAATCTGCCTAAGAGTCAATTCACTAAAGTATATTGCATGTAGTGTTGTTTATTAAAATGGTTATAAAGATATTTTTTTTCATTAAAATAATAAACATTTCATAGTTACCTGCTCTGTGCAATGGTTTTGCACAGAGCAGCCCTGATTCCCCCTCTTCTCAGGTCCCCTGTTGGTGCTTATGGCCCCTCCCCA